GTACAACTTACAAGAATGAACTATTGTTTGTTGTGTCAATTCAATGTACCCTAATTATTATGTACATTTTAGAGTTTAAATAGAAAAAAAACGTGTTTTTAACACAGTAAAACAACATAAATCACTAACGAAAATATGTATTGATCATCAATCAACATTATCGTCGTCATAATCAACTTGGATTATAAAATTGGCATCTTGTTAAATTGGTTATTTTATGAACCTAAGATTTTATTAACAAAAGGATTTTCATAAAAAAGGTTTGTAACCCATGGATTATTGGCCAGGGAGTCCAGTGATAGAAAAATAATTTCCCAATTTTTTTTGTAACTTCAAAAATATGATAATAAAAATTCAAATAACCATTTTGAAATGATCAGTACATTTTTAAGCCTTAGTTTATCAAGTGAAACCTTAAATTCAAGAAAGGATTATTTTTTAATTTGTGAAAATGCTCTCCATTCATAATGGGAATGTTTCAATGTTGACAACACTTCTGAAATGTCAAAATTCCGTCGAATTAAAAATCAGAGTTTACGAATTATTTAAAGGTAGTACCTATTTGAAATTAGTGCACAATGTTTACCCAATGTCACGTACTTTTAAACAATTAAATATAATGTTGCTGTAAAAATCAAACATGTTTATAATGTTTCAGCTATTACACTTAAATCTTTTCACCTTGAAAATGAAATCGGTGAAAATAAAATTTGTTGACTTATTTTTCAGTGTTAGGGGGCGTCCATTAATTACGTGAGACAATATTGCCTATTTTTAACCCCCCCTTAATTCGTAATTTGTTTTTCAAATGAGGTGATTCTCTTTTTAGAGCCATAATGTCAGACCGAACAAACAACCGCGATGAATATTAAATTTTGTCTAGAGTGAGTTTGTAACTTTTTCGTTAACGTACGGATGACAGCACATCAAATCATTGCTGCAAAATCGCCCGTATCACAACTGTTTAAGATGCAACAACTGTAACTACACGCCGCCCATCATATTGATTCACCTGAATGAACCACAATCTTATCTTTCAGTCACCCCTTATCTTCTATGCCGGATTATTATCGAGCTAATCATGCAAAAGGTGTGTGTCATGATGAATCATTATCTATAATTATGTATTATAAAGACACCATTCGTTCGTTTCAGCCAAATGACTTCGACTGCTGGACAAAAGACCCCTCAAGAATTTCCATAACGACTGGTCCTGCGCTGCCCGCATCCAGGTTCTTCCAGCGACCTTCACCAGATCGTCGGTCAAACTAGGGGGCTACCCACGTTACGGCTATCAGCTCTAGGAGCTATGTTCCCGCTCACTGCCATTTTATTTTAGCAATTATTAGAAAGACACCATAAACTTTCTAAAGTCTTTCTAAATTCAGTTATTGGCGTCGATAGTATCCTAGCCATAACCATAGTGATAATTCAGTTGGCCCATTTCATGAAAAGAAATCTAACCTTCAAGGCAAACAGTTGTTATGCAAATCTAAATAAACTAACAATTGACATCAAATACTACAGGCATGTCAAAGCAAATATATTGGTTAAAAATACTCATCACTATCGCAGGTGCTGCGTGTTAGAATGAATTTTATTTATCCTTATTATTGTCGTATAAAGGTTGATAATTAAGCTCATACCTACCTCGTGTAATTAGCTGCCCCATAAACAATAGGCACAGCGTTATGTCGTAGAGGTTGAAGCAATTTTTCAGTCACATAATCCTCACTAAACGAGTTCTCAAACGACAAATAAAAGTAGTATGTTTCTTCGACCATTTTCAAGCATTCTTCTTGATTTGATGCAGAACATTTCAGTGTTCCACACTTGCCGTATATATCAAGTTCAAGACCATACGTTTCGAGTTCATCTTTAAGTTCCTTAGCGACTTTCATCCTTCCTGCTTTATCCCTGCAATTAGAAACAAACCACGCAGCCGCTTTGTTCTTAGTTTTCAATTTCTGCTTGAACTCTTCACTCACAGGATCCATTTCTTCCAATTTTAGCCAGTGCATTACTTTGTTAGGGCCAATAAGGTTGTCCTTTGAGTCCCTTACATCTAAGTAGCCCCATCGCACTTCAGAGTCAAGTCTAAACGTCCACGTCCAGTTGAAGTATCCGTCATATTTGTTTGTACAAGCTGGGTAATAATGAGATGATTCTATTGACGCAAATACATATTTTTGGTGCGGAGCTCTTTTGGATGGTAAGATGATTCCTCGGTGAGTTACTACTTCAGGTCCAGAGAAAATAACCACATCGAAGTTTGTTATGTCGTTGAAATACTTTTTGTCACCCGTAACATAGCAATTTTGGTAAGGGCAGTCCCTGCTCGTGAATCCTTCTTGACCTTTGCCCATGTAGGCCAAAGGTACATTTCGAGGCGATGTCCATTGAAGAATGTATTTCATACCTGTGACGTATTTTGGTTCATTCAATAATATTAGGTCTCCACTTTGAGTGAGCACTTTCACTTCACCATTTTTGTTCGTTTTTGATAAATTGTTTAAATCTCTTATTAAAAGAAACACGAAATATAACAAAGTCGCGTACGAAAGACACAAAAATATTTTTCTTAGAAACGGCGATCCCATTTTTAAAGTGGTTTTATCAAAAAGTATACACGTGCATTATTAAGGACGGGCTATCAGTTACTAACAAAATACAAATTGCTCTACTACGATACGATACGATACGATACGATAGTGCTCACCCAGCCAGGACGATGCCTGCTCCGGTCAAACCGGCATACCAGGAGGCACGATTTTAAGGAAAGACACGCTCTGGGATGGGAGAGGACGGCCGACTAGCCGCTGCGTCTTTAAACCGCAACCGGTCGACCACAACCAAGTAGATATGCATCCTGAGCCTGGTCTAGGAAAATAGGTAAAGACGGGTTATCGTTGATAGGACTGAGCGTTGGTGCGATGAGATGGGCAGTCTGGCCTTTGATGAGATGGCTTTGGTTGTTCTTGGTTCTTGTAATGCTGCTAGACTAGCTTAGTTGTTTTCTTGATTTTTGTGGTACTACGTTTTTGTCGTCGCTGTATCTTTCAGATTAAATATTTCTTCTACTTCTTTTCTTAATGTCGTTGGAAGGAAGAACTAAACGCGTGGTGCGATGAGATGGGCGGTCTAGCCTTTGGTGAGAGAGGTGGCTTGTTTATTCTTGGTTCTTGCATGTTGGACTAGCTTCATTGTTTTTCCGATTTTATGCTTCTTTTCTTGATATCGTTAGTAGGACTGAGCGTTGATGCAATGAGATGGGCGGTCTAGCCTTTGGTGAGATGTCTTGGTTCTTGTACTGCTGCTAGACTAGCTTCATTTTTCTCCTGAGGTCTGTGTTAGGTAGGTACTGCTGAGTTGTTGACGTCTTCTTCTTTGCTTCATCTTCCGGGTCAGATATTTCTTATGCTTCATTTCTTATTTCTTTTTGTCGTAATTGAGTTCACTTTGTTATATTTCTTGGATAGTAGATGTTTAAATTTTAGTTCCATTTATCCACAATCTCTGAAACACTTGACTTTCTTGTTTTTTACTAATTACTCTGTCGATAACTGTATTTTTGGGTTTTTGTCGTCTTCTTCGTTGTCTTTGTTGCCTGGGTCGAATGTTTCTTATGTTTCTTGATTATTGTTTTTTTCTTTTCTGGCTTGGGCTAAATAAATTATGTAGACATTAGAGCAATGTAGAATCTGTATGTATCAAAATTATTAATAAAAAAGTAAAGTTTATGGATGGACCAAATGTTAAGAGTCTTTCATTTGACAAACTACCTATATGATCTATGTTACATAATTATTTTAAAATGAAAATACTAGATCATAATAATTATGCGTTCGTCTTGGTGTTTTTTGGCAAGAAGAAGAATTGCCACCAAATATTTTTAAAGAAAGAAAGATAAGGAACGATCTCACCGGGTTTCATCGGATTAGTTTTCTAGGCTTTTAGCTTAGGCGCTGTGCCAGTCACTGTGCACTCGATGCTTTTTTCTCACGTACAGTTTTTCTCACTCAAAAAATTGATCTATAACCACTAATTTTTACACTGCTAACTATGTTAATAGTTAATCGCGACTATGATTTCGTGTAACTGTTAGAACATTTGGGTTTCACCGCCGCATCGGCGACAAACGCCATAGGGCTTTGTAAGTGCCTTTTGGGGTCGTCGGACCGTCTGGAGCGCACGTGTTGCGCACGTCCACTCCCGAAGGCTGCCCAAAACAAACTTCAAATACAAATTGCTCTAATACAAATACAAATACACACATGTAATGGAAATTAAGTAAGGTAAACTAATAATACAAATTTAAAGCAGTTTCGTGTTAACAATGGAGGTAAGGAGGGCAGGAAAGTTCTCGAGTGGCGACCACGGGCTGGAAGACGTAGCGTGGGCAGGCCTCCTACTAGGTGGACCGACGATCTGGTAAAGGTCGCGGGAAGAGCCTGGATGCGGGCAGCGCAGGACCGTTCATTGTGGAAAACCTTGGGGGAGGCCTTTGTCCAGCAGTGGACGTCATTTGGCTGATAAAGAATGGAGGTAAAATAATTCATAAATTAAAATCGGTACTTGATGGATGATGATAATTATTGTTAGTGATCGGAAGAGAAAATAATCATGACTACTGCTATCATTTATTGAAATTAGATATCTAATGGTACGCACAAATTATGTGATAACAAGTACTCGTAGTGACTCATAATGAAAAGATGCAATGACCTAAGTATTTTAGATTCAATCACTTAACACAATCGTATTTTTTAAAGATTTTTTGCTTTTGCCTCGGGAATTTTCAGTTTAACCTCAAATCAACTTTTGATTCACTGGCAAAGGTCAAAATTACCTATTATAGCCATTTTTTTATTTTAAACAAATTCTCCAGAAATTAGTGTTTCATTTTGATTATAGCCATATTAACCGGTGTTTTTGTATGAAGTTGGACAGACTTTTAACGTTTGTTATAATATTATGTAGTTGGTAATTTAAGCATGTGCCTACCTCGTGTAATTAGCTGCCCCATAAACAATAGGCACAGCGTTATGTCGTAGAGGTTGAAGCAATTTTTCTGTCACATAATCCTCACTAAACGAGTTCTCAAACGACAAATAAAAGTAGTATGTGTCTTCGACCATTTTCAGGCATTCTTCTTGATTTGATGTAGAACATTCTAGTGTTCCACACTTGCCGTATATATCAAGTTCAAGACCATACGTTTCGAGTTCATCTTTAAGTTCCTTAGCGACTTTCATCCGTCCTGCTTTGTCCCTGCAATTAGAAACAAACCACGCAGCCGCTTTGTTCTTAGTTTTCAAGTTCTGCTTGAACTCTTTACTCACAGGATCCATTTCTTTCAATTTCAGCCAGTGCATTACTTTATTAGGGCCAATAAGGTTGTCCTTTGAGTCCCTTACATCTAAGTAGCCCCATCGCACTTCAGAGTCAAGTCTAAACGTCCACGTCCAGTTGAAGTATCCATCATATTTGTTTGTACAAGCTGGGTAATAATCAGATGATTCTATTGAGGCAAATACATATTTTTGATGCTGAGCTCTTTTGGATGGTAAGAGCATTTCTGGGTGAGTTAATACTTCAGGTCCAGAGAAAATAACCACATCGAAGTTTGTTATATCGTTGAAATACTTTTTTTCACCCGTAACATAGCAATTTTGGTAAGGGCAGTCCCTGCTCGTGAATCCTTCTTGACCTTTGCCCATGTAGGCCAAAGGTACATTTCGAGGCGATGTCCATTGAAGAATGTATTTCATACCTGTGACGTATTTTGGTTCATTCAATAATATTAGGTTTCCACTTTGAGTGAGCACTTTCACTTCACCATTTTTGTTCGTTTTTGATAAATTGTTTAAATCTCTTATTAAAAGAAACACGAAATATAACAAAGTCGCGTACGAAAGACACAAAAAAATTTTTCTTAGAAACGGCGTTCCCATTTTTAACGTAGTTTTATCAAAAAGTATACACGTGCATTATTACGGACGGGCTATCAGTTACTAACAAAATACAAATTGCTCTACTACAAATACAAATACACACATGTAATGGGAATTAAGTAAGGTAAACTAATAATACAAATTTAAAGAAGTTTCGTGTTAACAATGGAGGTAAAATAATTCATAAATTAAAATCGGTACTTGATGGATGATGATAATTATTGTTAGTGATCGGAAGAGAAAATAATCATGACTACTGCTATCATTTATTAAAATTAGATATCTAATGGTACGTACAAATTATGTGATAACAAGTACTCGTAGTGACTCATAATGAAAAGATGCAATGACCTAAGTATTTTAGATTCAATCACTTAACACAATCGTAATTTTTAAAGATTTTTGCTTTGGCCTCGTGAATTTTCAGCTTAAGCTCAACTCAACTTTTGATTCACTAGCAAAGGTCATAATTACCTATTATGGCCATATAGTTTTTAAAACAGATTCTCAAGAATTTGGTGTTTCGTTCTGGTTGTAACCATAACTGGTGATTTTTTGTATGGAGTTGGACAGACTATTGACGTTTGTTATAATATTATGTAGTTGGTAATTTAAGCCCGTGCCTACCTCGTGTAATTAGCTGCCCCATAAACAATAGGCACAACGTTATGTCGTAGAGGTTGAAGCAATTTTTCAGTCACATAATCCTCGCTAAACGAGTTCTCAAACGACAAATAGAAGTAGTATGTTTCTTCGACCATTTTCAAGCATTCTTCATGATTTAATGTAGAACATTCCAGTGTTCCACACTTGCCGTATATGTCAAGTTCAAGACCATACGTTTCGAGTTCATTTTTAAGTTCCATAGCGACTTTCATCCGTTCTGCTTTGTCCCTGCAATTAGAAACAAACCACGCAGCTGCTTTTTTCTTAGTTTTCAATTTATGCTTGAACTCTTCACTCACGGGATCCATTTCTTCCAATTTCAGCCAGTGCATTACTTTATTAGGGCCAATAAGGTTGTCCTTTGAGTCCCTTACATCTAAGTAGCCCCATCGCACTTCAGAGTCAAGTCTAAACGTCCACGTCCAGTTGAAGTATCCATCATATTTGTTTGTACAAGCTGGGTAATAATCAGATGATTCTATTGAGGCAAATACATATTTTTGATGCTGAGCTCTTTTGGATGGTAAGAGCATTTCTGGGTGAGTTAATACTTCAGGTCCAGAGAAAATAACCACATCGAAGTTTGTTATATCGTTGAAATACTTTTTTTCACCCGTAACATAGCAATTTTGGTAAGGGCAGTCCCTGCTCGTGAATCCTTCTTGACCTTTGCCCATGTAGGCCAAAGGTACATTTCGAGGCGATGTCCATTGAAGAATGTATTTCATACCTGTGACGTATTTTGGTTCATTCAATAATATTAGGTTTCCACTTTGAGTGAGCACTTTCACTTCACCATTTTTGTTCGTTTTTGATAAATTGTTTAAATCTCTTATTAAAAGAAACACGAAATATAACAAAGTCGCGTACGAAAGACACAAAAAAATTTTTCTTAGAAACGGCGTTCCCATTTTTAACGTAGTTTTATCAAAAAGTATACACGTGCATTATTACGGACGGGCTATCAGTTACTAACAAAATACAAATTGCTCTACTACAAATACAAATACACACATGTAATGGGAATTAAGTAAGGTAAACTAATAATACAAATTTAAAGAAGTTTCGTGTTAACAATGGAGGTAAAATAATTCATAAATTAAAATCGGTACTTGATGGATGATGATAATTATTGTTAGTGATCGGAAGAGAAAATAATCATGACTACTGCTATCATTTATTAAAATTAGATATCTAATGGTACGTACAAATTATGTGATAACAAGTACTCGTAGTGACTCATAATGAAAAGATGCAATGACCTAAGTATTTTAGATTCAATCACTTAACACAATCGTAATTTTTAAAGATTTTTGCTTTGGCCTCGTGAATTTTCAGCTTAAGCTCAACTCAACTTTTGATTCACTAGCAAAGGTCATAATTACCTATTATGGCCATATAGTTTTTAAAACAGATTCTCAAGAATTTGGTGTTTCGTTCTGGTTGTAACCATAACTGGTGATTTTTTGTATGGAGTTGGACAGACTATTGACGTTTGTTATAATATTATGTAGTTGGTAATTTAAGCCCGTGCCTACCTCGTGTAATTAGCTGCCCCATAAACAATAGGCACAACGTTATGTCGTAGAGGTTGAAGCAATTTTTCAGTCACATAATCCTCGCTAAACGAGTTCTCAAACGACAAATAGAAGTAGTATGTTTCTTCGACCATTTTCAAGCATTCTTCATGATTTAATGTAGAACATTCCAGTGTTCCACACTTGCCGTATATGTCAAGTTCAAGACCATACGTTTCGAGTTCATCTTTAAGTTCCATAGCGACTTTCATCCGTTCTGCTTTGTCCCTGCAATTAGAAACAAACCACGCAGCTGCTTTTTTCTTAGTTTTCAATTTATGCTTGAACTCTTCACTCACGGGATCCATTTCTTCCAATTTCAGCCAGTGCATTACTTTATTAGGGCCAATAAGGTTGTTCTTTGAGTCCCTTATATCTAAGTAGCCCCATCGCACTTCAGAGTCAAGTCTAAACGTCCACGTCCAGTTGAAGTATCCATCATATTTGTTTGTACAAGCTGGGTAATAATCAGATGATTCTATTGACGCAAATACATATTTTTGGTGCTGAGCTCTTTTGGATGGTAATAGTATTTCTGGGTGAGTTAATACTTCAGGTCCAGAGAAAATAACCACATCGAAGTTTGTTATATCGTTGAAATACTTTTTGTCACCCGTTACATAGCAATTTTGGTGAGGACAGTCCCTACTCGTGAATCCTTCTTGACCTTGGCCCATATAGGTCAACGGTATATTTTGTGGCGATGTCCATTGAAGAATGTACTTCATACCTGTTACGTATTTTGGTTCATTCATTAATGTCATGTCTCTACTTTGACTAAGCACTTTCACGTCACCATTGTTGTTCGGTTTTGATATGTTGATTAAAATCCTAAGTATTGTCACGAAAAATAACAAAGTCGCGTACGAAAAATACAGAAGTATTTTTCTTAAAATCGGCATTTTTACGTGTTTATTATAAAAAAGTATAGACGTGCATTATTACGGACGGGATATCAGTCACTAACAAATTATAAACTGCTTTACTACCTAATACAATACACATATTTAATGGTTTCTACATTAAACACCGAATAAATTGATTAATACATTGACATTAAATGATTAGTACCTATTATAGCCATAATTTTTCATTAAACTGATTCTCAAGAAATAGTACTTATTTGATTTGGTCGCAACTCGCAACTTGATACGCGTATATACCGACTTGAGGTTCCACCTTTGGGTCTTTTTCTAAAACATACGGACATCGCTATTTATTAAACTCTGGAACGTTAAACATGTAAATGGGCATACAGTCAAATGTATAATTTAATCGTTATTAGGGCTGGGTTATTACCATCTTACTTTAACCTTAAACTATAACAAACGACAAAAGCCTGTCAAACTCTATTCAAAAACACACCAGTAAGGTGGTGTAACTCAGCCTTAGTTTCGTTTGTGAATGTGAATTTGTTTAGACACACAAATCTTATTCCTTACTGACTTCACTGAAATTCCCACTGTCAATATTGTGCGTACATACCACGTTTAAAGCTTCGCCTTCTTATTTTTCCCGTTTGCTCTTTGACTTTTCGCCAAAATCAATTTCGACGACGGAAATGGTAAACATTTGCCCCTTATTTTGTGTTTGACGTGTGGATTTATTTCGTGAGATTATTACAATAAAAAATATAAGATTCCTAACTAAAATAAACAACATAGTTTTTTAAAACGACATGGCACCTCTAAAGATTCAACGAAAGCAACTATTTTTTTATTTTCTAGATTTCGAGACACGTGCTTGAAGTAGTTGAAATTAGCAGTATCATTCTTCTTCATTTCTTCTTCTTCTCTTAGATTAGTAGTACCGTACCCGTTATTATTATTTCAATTGAACTATTACATTTAATATAATTAATTGTAAAGATAGCAGGGAAGCGCTGGACGCAGGCCGCTACCAATCGATCAACATGGAAAGCATTGGGGGAGGCCTATGTTCAGCAGTGGACGTCCTGTGGCTGAAATGATGATAATTAATTGAAATGGTTTTCGTTACAAACTGTTTGTGAAGCAGTTGAATAAAAAACTGATCGTAAATCATTTAATTTTGTGGAACAGGTTTTTCTTATTGAATTATCCTATTTAAGTTTGCCAAAATCTATTGGCAGTTGGCACTGTTTAGATTTCGGTCATTCAAAATAAAGGCACAGTAATAATAACTACTGATATACCTAAACGGATAATCTTAAACATCCACTCCATATTCTTTTACTTTCCGAAAATAAACATTACTCTCGTCCATTACATTCCCCAAGCCGGTAAATTAACTAATTCATCTAAATTAAGTTAATTAGTGTGGCACTTTTCTAATTCTCAAAGGAAAAGGGCAGGACTAAGAGAAGGTAATTACCATTGAAGAGGCGAAACAACCCGTAGTGTTAGTACTTACATGTGCACTAATTTGGTTTGTAATCATTTGTAATGTAATTTTGAAATAATAAATAAGAGTTTAGCTTAGCTATAAATTAAGGTAAACCAATAAGGCAAAAAAGTTTGTTCTATGATAAATATAAATTATGAAAAATAAGTAGGAGACTTGAGTCTAATGCTAGACTAGCCTCCCTTTATCATGAAGTTAAAGTATACAAATTAGAAAATCCCTTGAAAAAATAGGTGAATCAGAAAATTTCCTAAATGAGGAGTAAAAAAACAACTTTCTAGTAAAAAAAATTCAGCACACTGTCTATCAGGTAATGAAATCTTACAACCTTTTATGACTGACTTTTGGATTCTTCTAAGATTACTTTTTGAACTGAACATCAGATGGAAGAACCGATTAAGAGGTCCAGGGTAGTTGGACAACCAGCCAAGCTAAAATTCGCTATTTTGACAGTAAGGAGTTGCAGTTGTATGATCCCTATCGTTCTATCGTTCATACATATACGTAAATAGTGCGGCCGAATGAAAATTATGCCTATGCCTTTATTTTTCCTACCCAAAAAGAAAACAAAACACTCTTTACTATGTTAAGTGGTCATATGCCGAGGGTTACAGTGATTGATGTGCGCGGCGACGGGAGATGGATGCGCTAATGCTATGGGAATAAGAACTAATGGAATGTAAGTTAGACGGTTTCTTACCCTCGCATGTTAGGTAATTGTGGTTTGGAAGTGACTTTTGGTATGGAAATTACAAATATTACATTCGCTATATCGTTTTGATCTATTCTTGATTATACTACTATAACTCTTTTAAACTAGAGACAAGTTTTGCTTAGTTTTTGACTAAATTCTGCCCTTTAAAATTAAAGCTACAATAATTATGTCAACGGTTAAGACATCGCTAATTGGAGAATTTCAAGCTAGTTCGAACTTCGATACTCGTCAACCGCTGGATAAATCGATTCTTGTGATAAATCCACTACTAACACTCAGCTGAAGGGGTTAGCAAGTATAGTAATTCTGCACTACAAATATCTCTTTGTTCTTCGTTTCAGCCAAATGACGTCCACTGCTGGACAAAGATCTCTCCCAAAGATTTCCATAACAACCGGTCCTGCGCTGCCCGCATCCAGGTTCTTCAGCAACCTTCACCATGTCGTCAGCAACAGCTCTAATAGATAGTTTAAAAAAATAACATAATACTAAAAACTATAGCATGATTCCTTATGTTTCTTTGCACAATATCTGCCAATAAGCTGGGCTATAATTTGTACTTTCCTCCACAATTATAATAATCATTTAGGTTCTTACTCGCGATTCACATACTAACAAATCTCCGTCCGACATCAACAAAGAAATAAAACACCCAATTCGTTGGTATTGTGGCCCGTCCTAAAACAGGATTTAGCTGGGTAAATCCCTGATCCAAAGGGACTTTCTATTATGGAACTAATAACTACAAGGTATTTGTTTATGTTTGTGGTTCAGAACTTTGGTAGAACAATGCTTTTTCCACTCTACTTAAATGGCCCTGCGAAGATATTTTGTCCGATCATGTGACTTTATTAAGATTAAGTTTCACCAAAAATGTTATCTACTTTATTTATAGTTCCATTAAAATTTAAAAGAGGTCGTTGGATACCTACTGACTCTAAAATAAATGTAGAAGATGACTTCATGAAAGAACTTTTCAGCTCATAGTTTGTAAATCTATGTGAGGATCTAAAGCAGAGTCACAAAAATGTCTGAAACTTCTTCTTGCCGTGTCGACCACAAACCTACTGTCTGAATAATACTGAGTCTTATGTAATTGGGCCTGGAGGATACTGTCTTTCCAAAGTTTGCTCTGTTTCACATGTCACGAAATATTTATCGATCTATATCATGTCACAGTCACCACAGACTGCAGAACTCATCAATCAAACATTAAAAACATTTTGTCTAGACACTTCCTTCTCCCCACTATAGAAACGCAGTGAACTTATCCCAATCCAACACGATAAATTCCCGGATCGCCCATCAGCACTAGACAAAAACATAATAAAAGTCGTTTTTCTATCCGTAATAGTGAAATAAATCAAAGCGGATCCGGACTATCCATCACCGGGCGCGGTGACGCGACGTGCAAAATATGGCCGTTTTACTATGGATTATGGTAAAACGGTCGCTAGCGATAAGTCCCAACTGTAGGGATAGGGAATTTATTTATGGAGTCCGCCAGATTATAGTGGGTCCATTTATAGAGGTCTGGTTAACGTTTGGTGTCTGTTTTTCACTGTCACAGAGTCGCAGTATCAGTTCTAGAATGAAGATGGACCTTTGGTTGATTTCGTTTATGACCTTACAAGGCCGCAAGGACTCAAAAAACATAACCTTAATTTTCATCATAGGTACCCCTGGGAAATTCTAACCTGCTACCACAACTAGCTTTAATTTCTCTACACTTACCGTATTCTGTCTAATCGTATCAAAATTAAGGGTGAGAGATACTTCCAGACCTTTTATAAAACTTCTAGATTACTTAGGGACATGTTTTCAGTCAGATACGTAACTTTTTCACTATCTTAAAGAATAAGTTCGACATATTGACAGTCTAGGTAATTCGCTTCAGATAAAAGTTATCTTGGGAGCTTAGGAGTGAAAAATCCGTGTAAAAACAGTTTATTGCTAAGTAAAGTTAAAGTCTTTTTCTCGTCGGTGTTGAGACACTTTACTTGAAGGGACGATTTATTTCTTTCATAGATATCATAAATATGGACGTAACCTCATTTATCATTTCTTTCTGAGTCTGTAAAGTGTCTGAAGAATAACAAAATGTCAGTGTTGTCAGTCGATTTAAGACTGTCATAATATGCGACGCTGAATTTTGTGAAAAATTAACAAAACTTAACATACTATGCGCCCCGTTTTCGTATACAAGAAGTATTCACAATATTTTAAAAATGTAAAAAGGATTGTTTGGTAAAGTAATTGAATTATTTATGTATTTATAATTTTAGGGCAAAAATCTCTCAACAACTTCTATTTCGTTTTTAGTTACCTATTCTTCAAGTCTAAGGCTATTATTATTATTAGGGATAGTTTATTTATCAGATATAGTTCACATCAAGGTAAATTAGAATTTAGATTCGCTTGAATGCAATCCAAAATGTCTAAAAGCAAGGGCAATATCCTAAAAACGTCTCCTGTAACTATAACGACTAGGTCGCTTACTTCAAAGACTAATCACCACTTCTATACCTGGCCAGCACCGATAAATCTTGGTTGCTAAATGGAAAAGGGTTAATGTTCTTCTCTAACTTGAATTTACTTCAAGGGGTCTTAGCAAACCCTTGCTACAACTTTGTTTGTTAATCTAGTACGTGGGCCCATGGAGCACAATTGTCTTTTAAGCACAAATTAGGGACTTACTTGGACTTAATGGCAGTGCTCCTTTGGTGCACTTTTGGTCAGAAAATGATGTTCATTATTTACTGTAAGCCATTAGAGCTGCATAATAACTGCTTCTTCGGATCCTCATTTTTTGTATTCGAATATGTAGAGATTATTGCCCTTACAATGGCATGCATGATCGTTTAGGTACCAAGGTTGGCGCTGATGATTGATGATGATGAATTACATGTGGATATCATAGAAATGTATTTCATACATAGGGCATTAGTTTCACCAATCATTTTGTGATGAGAAAATACATAATAATAGCCAATATTATGTGGATGATGCCTTTATCACTAGATAAATTGTGGATTTTTTCGCAGTATCTATTATGTATTTCTATTATCTTCTAGGTATATTTATTATACATTCTAAGTGAAAAAAAAAAATACAAATGTGTACAAACTCAGCACGCCTAGTGAACAGCCTGGAGTGTTATATGGACGACCTGGTGGACTGCTTTGAGGATTTCGTCAAGAAGTCCCTCCTCATCATCTCCGTAGCAGTGGGAGCACTCATCGTGATGCTGGGATACGTTCTGAAGATCATCTCTGAGAGAGCGCAAGTCCCACTCTTGGGATCACCAGGTGAAAAAATTTTTGAAACAAATCATCATCATCATTCAGTATCCTCAAGAGCATGACCTTCTCTAATTGACTAGATACGTAAATGAAGAATTTGACATAGGTACACTCAATCAGTGCTGCTCAGACGAGTTGGAAAGTCAAAAAAGTTTAAACTTGCTATAGCTATTGCTTGCCATGTACCTTTTTATTTACGAGCCTCCGATATTTCGGCACTATTGCAAGGACCATGATCACGGAGTAACTCCGTAGCAATCCCTTAGATAGTAACTATGCTAATGCACGCACAAATTAATTTCTGAGCAAGTTCACTTTGCAAGGAATATGAAATGCAAAATACCTTAAATTTTTCAGCCGTAGCTCAGCAAATAGACACGACTAGAACTTCGTGCCCCCAAAGCTGCAGCTCAGCTCGAACGAGCCAACCTGACGTGCAGAATGACCTCCAGAAGTCCAAAAGTAGCACTCTCCCCCAAAAGTCTACCAACAGCATAGCCATGCCTTGCTTCAGGAAGGACTGCAGGAAGACCATGTCAGCTGCAGCGAATACTGGTCCTCTGTCAAGCACACCGAGCTTTGATGAGAAAGTGCTAAGGAATATTGGATTGTCGAGCTGTTCTAAAGTAAGTTGTGAAATGATCAATCGTAATTTAATTCTCATAAAGGTCATTTTAAGACCTCATCAAGGTAGCAGGCGCTGGATGCAGGCCGCTACTAACCGGTCATTGTGGAAGTCATTGGGGGGTCTATGTTCAGCAGTGGACGTCCTGTAGCTGAAATGATGATGATGATGATTGATGATAAATCGTAATTTAAGACTCTCTTGCGCTGAAAATATATCATGGCACCTGCCTATTTAGGCCAAGCAAAGTATAAAGAAATTATCTAAAATCAGTCAATCACAGAATTTATATCAATGCTTAAGTTAAATCAAGTTTTGAGTTTAGAAATACGAGCGTTAGGCATCAGGTTGAATTTAAAACTGACCCGACTAATAATTCAAATCCGGGACCATTAAGGCTCCAACAAATAAAACCATTACATCTACTCACTTTCGTGGTTATACTTCCACAAAAGTACGTAAAGAACTATTTCATTTATTCAAAATTCTACCTCACCTCGAAATTTCACTGAAAGGAATCGCTTTAAACGCGAAAGAATTAACCAATTTCAATTTCGTTTGGACACCACCAGGGCGAGCAGTGTACGCTGCTGAAGTCAGTGCCTCGAAAAAATACAGGGAATTCAGAAAACAAGGAATGAAACATACATTGTTTCTTTTCAGAGCTGCGTTCAGAGCAAACGGCATATGATACGTAATGGTTCGGCTTCTAGGTAAGTTTCTCTTTATTTTTTACATCGGTTTCATTGATTGGAAAAGTCCTTTTCTTCCCAAAAAGTAAAGGCACAAAATGCAAGACAATATTTTTGTTCGTATCTCGACATAATTTCATTAAAATTATGTGTCTTATTTTCAGGCTTGCAATTCCAAGTATGCCAACGTGCATTCCAAATCGTGAGTATTAAAATTGCAACCTTGCATTGTTTTATACTTACAAGTTTAAAGCATAACTTTGTACCCTAGGGATGGAAGCGGCACGGGAGAGATGACGTCATAATGACGTGACTTAATGACAAGTCTGAAGCGCATCTGAAGTCTCGCTGACATTTGACGTCACAAAAACACAGTCCCGTGCCGCTTCCATACCTCACAAGCACTGACTCAGTTAATGCGTAAGATCTATAGCTACCAATAAACTTACGACACCCCAACTTTTTTTTAATCCACAGACCACATATCAACTCCTCGCCCCTGCTCCAAGTTCGTGGCCAGCCGAAACTCTTGCTGCTCGATGTGCTGCGCAGACGACGATCGGCGATGACGAACAAGTGAACATCAACGTCATGATCAGTCAAAGGTCAACGATGATCAGTCAAAACATCAACACTGATCAGATAAGGCAATTGATTTAAGTTCTATCTCTCATCAGGTGCAATTTTATTATAAAATAAAATTTTGAAAGATTGGTAAACACAGTAAGATTTGTGTATTTTCCAAATTATTAATTAATACCAGGCTATCTTTTAAATAAATTAATACAAAACAAAATATTTTTAGTACAAAAATACTAGTTGGAATGGTCACATGAAAACAATTTACAACATTGTAAAAGAAATTATCGAATAATGTTAAAATTTATTCATGCGATTGTCTTAATTTATTGTAGAATCGTAAGAATATGAAAGTATTTCTTGTTGGTGCGCATAGGATGTTATTTTTGTATTTATTATGTAATGTTTTTAGGAAAAATATTTAGTTTTGTCAAAATTGTATTTTGTTTTTTATATTAAAATGAATTTTGAACATGACGTTTTTTATTTATTACTTTACCATTACAATAATTCAACAAATCAAAATACATAGGGGAGTAAATTATTAGCCAACGATTCTATGCTTACCTACCTACCATTCAAAAGTAGATCATTATAATTTGGAGCATTATTAGATACCTTGTAGTTTGAAGTTTGGACTTCTCATTCGTTCGTTCGTTTCAGCCGAAAGACGTCCACTGCTGGACAAAGGCCTCCCCCAAGATTTTCACAAAGACCGGTCCTGCTCCGCTCGCATCCAGGCACCTCCCGCGACCTTCACCAGATCGTCGGTCCACCTAGTCCGTGACCTAGTGAGACTTCTCATTACATTAAGAGATACTTTATTAAAGAGATATTATTAACAGAAAACAACAGAAAATAATAAAGAAGACGAGAAAAAAAATTAAATACGACCTTAAATTCTCTAGGATTTGTATTCTGTCAATGTCTTGATGTGTTGACTAGGTTTGACGGTTGACTGCAGTTGACTGCATCAAAGAAACTTTCAAAAACCCAAAAAAATCTAGAAACTTTCAAAAACCCAAAAAAATACAAAATCATGGACCTATAAAAAAAGGCGGACGGAACTCGCGCTACAACAAAACTGTGACGCAAAATTTTGGCGTTTGTCTATTGTGTGAGTGAATTTAGGAATGCCATGTTAGCCAAAACATGTTACCCATTTATTTTAAGAAAAACATAGATCGGCAGATGTTACTTGGAAATGTAGACAGAATTATTCCGTGCCATTTTAAAAGGATGAAAGGTGAATGCGTTGAGGTAGGCGCGAAATTTTCAATGTTCAAATTTTCTTACATTGTTTGCAAGTCAGTGTGTCAGGGTATGTACATAATGTTGATCAAAAATGGTTCTCGCAGTTACAAATTACGAATCTTGTGTAAATTATAATCTTATACATCATCAATATATTATTATTATCTCTGATAGATTTTTTTAACATACAACCTGACACTGACTTGCAATCAATGTAAGAAAATTTGAATTTCGCAGTTCCACATTTTTGGGAAGGATCAAAGCCGATGAAATTATATCCCACTAAAACACAATTATTATGATAAATTATTTTATTTCCATAGTATGCGTAATAAATAACTAAAAAGTCCTAAAATTATTATTAATTTCCCATATTTTGGGTAATTTTCCCACGTAAATAACTGAGAACACTGGTCTTTGACGTATTATTTTTTCGAGTGAATGACGTTTGATTTCAAATAATTTCAATATTTTAATATCGGGAAATAAGTGATTGGATTATTATTTTGCCTGTGAAATGTGATTCCTTAATTTTTGTTTGTTCGAACAGAACGTTTTTTACACAATTTCATCACACAAGACATGTCGTATTCGTGTTGTTTTTTCGCTGCTTAAATGTGTCAACTGTGTGAAGTTTGCACTCGAAGTGGTGTAACAGGGTGTGAATGTGTGCGTGCCGGCCTGTACGTACAGGCAAGCTGGTGTATCCTAATGTCACAGTATTTTTTTGATGAGAATCCGTCCGACTTTTTTTATAGGTCCATGTACAAAATTACAAAATCAAATAAAAAGATGCTAAAAGACTCTTCAATTTAAGTAATTATCATTATGTAGTTTGAAATATTGCAAATAACAATAATGGCGAGACGGCATATTTATACAGGTAAGTTACCTATCAACTAAGCACGGCATTTTTCTAAAAGTAACTAAAAAATATAGTTAAAGCCATGGGTTAAAGCTTCCTAGGTCCCATGGTAAGATTTACATAGGAAATCGAGATGATATGTTCAGATGCGAAATGAGGAATTATTTGTTCCATATTCCACATAATACCTATAATATGCCTATTGATTCTCCAATTTTTTCTCGTCCTCTTTAAGTTTAATTTTTCGTTGTTGTTCTCCATGTTCTATCTTTACCAAACTTGACGAAGTTGCGTGATTTAATTTTTGCCAAAATTGGTGAAAAAAAAAATGGGTGTCACTCTGTCACTCAAATATTTATTGATAAAAAAACTAGACAATTTACTGGTTTACTTCAAGGAATGTATACTCGCCTCCATCGCCGTCCTGCAGCAATGGCCCAGAACGCTCGGCAGTCCCCCAAAGACCTTCGGAGCCTCGCCAACCTGGCCACCCAGTACGTCTGGGCAGCATACAACATGATGAACGGGAACTACCTGGCTCTAGCCACAGTGATAGCCGTGGTGCTGCTGAGTTTCTTAATACCAGACATCTCGCAGAAGATCCACGCGACCAGCGAGCTGAAGAATATGAAGAAGGTGCTCAATTTGATGACGGTAAGCCTGAACGTTTTGTTTTTTCTTTGGACCTGAGTCTGTTTGACCTCAATCGTATGGTACATGATGATTTGTGATAAAACTTTGATTGATTCATCACATTATCATGACGTTTGAATAAATAAAGCAACTGCTTAGATAGAAACAGGTCAAAAGTTAAGTGAGATCAGACCCCTATGAAAACCAGTAAATGCAAAATGTGAAATAATTCTGCTGCTCCACGAATTAACGATTTTTGAAAAGTAGACACTTGTTGCGATACATTTATTTGCGTATTGCAATTTATTTTGCGTAGTTCAAAGTAAAAAATCATGGCAATTGCTCGCTGTAACCCAATTGAAACAAGTAAATACTCTGAAAATGCTACATTTAATGGACACAGCAGAATGAAAATGGTATTGGGCAAACTAAAAAATCGGTTCAAGCGATTTTATTTCGCTGGGAACGTGATCCGCTTTTATAATGGACAAGCGTTTTGAATGATTAAAGGAAACGATTTTTGAAAAAGTCTAGCAAAATATGCAAATAGGATAAACTGGTGGAGTGCACAGCGCATCAAGATTACAAGTATTAGTTCTAATAGTCAGGATGTGATCAACGATTAAAATATTAATTTATACTAAATCTGAATCACAGATGTTTTTAACTTACGTGATACTATTTACGTTTGCTAAGGCAAACTAACTAAGGTGAATTTCAAGATTTAGGAAACTATGCTGCTAAAATTTTAGGATTCTTCTTAAACAAGCCATCTTCTATTAGGGATCTTTGTCCATTGTGCAATTTATTAGCAATAATTTATTCTAGTTCTACTTAAACTTACATCTGATGCACAAATAGAGAATAAAAGTAAACTATTTCTTACGTAACTTGCAAACAAAAAAGATAGCACATCCACGACCCCGGCTGAGTTTTGTCTAAAAATAAACATTCTTCCCACCCATTGTTCCGCACTACTTTATCCAGCTTAACTTGTTGCATCGCAACAAGAAAAATCCTACCTTACAAAACCCTAAGGCTACGGCTTCACGACTGAGAACGAGATGTTTCTGGGAAAATATTTCGAAAGACGTGGCCAGATTTGACTATTGCTAAGTGTATCAATTTAATTCGTCCCAAGGTATCAATGAATTGAAGTATGCAATGAAGTAATTAATGGCCAGAATTTTTTAGAAACCTTTGCGCAGGCTAACCAAATTATTAGGCTTTTGTTTATCTAAACACGTCATTACAAATGTTTTTAATGTAGCCCACATTTTTTTTTCTCGTTTTGCATGATTATAATAACAACTGAGCTTATTAGTGTGCCTTTGATTAACATTCCGACTTTCTACGCCGTCTCATCGTAAATTATGTTTCTTAACTCAACAGTAAGCACAGGATTATTACGTATTTTCACTTACACTCCAGACTTTGGCAATGGAAGCTTTTTAATTATATTTTTATTTATTTTATTTTATTTATTTACTAGCGGCCGCCCGCGACTTTGTACGCGTGGATCCCGTTTTACCCCCTTCATATATTATCTTACGCGGTTTAGATTTTTTCATACAATTTTTTTTTCCCGCTAACGGGAGTTATCCCGTTCAGGTGGGAATTTTGCAATATCCTGTTGTAACTAAGCTTTAAGTTTACTAAGGTACCTGTATGCCAAATTTTNCGAACGAACGAAAATAGTGGTACTATTTACCAGACATTACTATTTATTGCATACTCGCCGGATCACACGTAGGAGCACGCGAGTTACAGCTTCGGCCTTGCATTATTATAAGTTCTTGTTCCGCCCTTTTACGAACTTCCTCCGTGAGGATATCCCCGTTGAATTCTATGATGAACCTATCAAAAGTCATATTCTGCAATGTCAACCCACCACAAGGTGGACCGACGACCTGATAAAGGTAGCGGGAAGGCGCTGGATGCAGGCCGCTACCAACCGTGCGATGTGGAAGTCATTGGGGGAGGCCTATGTTCAGTAGTGGACGTCCTGTGGCTGAAATGATGATGATGACAAATCTTCGAACGTGTATAATACCGTGCCAAAGTAATCATATAATTTTGGCACCTTAATAACTATTGCCGTTTTTGTTGTAAAGATCATGCAGCGCTACTTGCGGATATTATTGGAAAGAAAACTATGTGGGCTCTAGATCTGAAGCCGCTTTAACGAACACGAAGTGCTCATACAATGCGGCGTATTTTCTTCCAGTCTTTAGTCAGGACTTTAGTCGAATTTATTTATTTATTTATTATTCATTATTGAGCAATTACATATTTGATCCAAATAGCGTCCTAAATCCTCTTTAGGTTTGTCTAGATGTCATAGTCAAAGGTCGATATGCAGTCTCTCCGCGGAATGTCTGGTTTATCCTAGGATTGACCAAGGCTTTCAGGCAAACCCCGAAGTAAATTCTTATTTCGGCCTTTGACTTAGTCAAACCTAGAAGTGCCTAAACTGTTCAGTCAAACGTCGAAACTAAAATAATCTGTTTCGGGCTTTGCCTAGTCAATCCTAGAAACGACTGGCAGACTCGGTTAAAAGTAGACGGCAATTATAGAAAACCGGCCAAGTGCCTTCGGATTCGCTCACGAAGGGTTCCGTGCGACTCTTTTATCCTTCAAGGTACAAAACCGTAAAATAGTAATTTCAACATCGGTCTTGAAACACTTTATTGTTTATGGAATAAATGACTATGACTGATAAATAACCGCAGTAAATAAGTTTAGATACCTTCAGTTATATTATAGTAAACTAGCTTTTGCCCGCGGCTTCACCCGCGTGAAATTTAGTTTGTCACAGATCGTCATATAGCCTATATGTTATTCTGGGTTATAAAAAATAATACTGTAAAGTTACATCAAAATCCGTTCAGTAGTCCGTTTTACGTGAAAGAGTAACAAACATCCATCCAGACATCCGGAAATCCAAACTTTAGAATTTATAATATTAAAGTAGGATAAGCGGCGCCCCAATACAAAGGCAAAAGTAAAAATCGTTTTATTACACCTAATCTAACAAAGTAAGACATTCTAATTCTTAATATTGAGGTTTGACTAGTCAAACCCCGATTTCATAAAATTGAGTTTCGACGTTTGCCTAACCAAATTAGTTACTCCTAGGTTTGACTAACATTCTTTAGTCAAAGGCCGAAATGTTTGGGCTTTGACTAAGACTTCTAGTCAGACCTGAGGATTGACTAGTCAAACCTAGGAGTGCCGGAACTTCGAGGTTTGACTATAACATAGACACTATTGTTCTCTATACAAATAAAAACAAACGTTTTAGTATAATATAATATAATATAATTAAAATCCCGGTTGAACGTGATATAGCCGCACTAGAATACGATGCTTTTTTGTATAATCGCAAGACTTCGTTCCGGTGTCGACCGAATGTTATCATGATGTATGTGGCCCAGGGGTTACCGTAGCCGCTAAGGTTTGAAACTTCTTGCTTAAAATATTGTAGTCTTTGGCATAGACTACGACGGTAGTCATGGAGATAGGAGTTTGTTATCTCTTGTCAGATGTAAATGGTGAAAAGAAAACTCATGATTCGTGTTATTTTTATGCAATATGTAGGTATTTTATAAAAGTGGAACCCCGAGTGATCTCCAAAACCCATTCTATTATTATATACGATTCGGCTTCGATATCTATAATACAATAGGAGTTTATTTCATGTGTCAGATGACAAGGGTGGAAACAACCTACGATTCATGTTGTTTATTTACGTGCAATATGTGGGCATATTATAAAAGTGGAATGCCGAGTTGTATTTCTAAAACTTGTTCTATTATTTTATACTATTTGGCTGCGACTCGGCGTGACGACAATACAAAACATTTTTCGCGAATCGGTGTTCATACATTCACACAGACAGACAGACAGACAGACAGACAGACAGACAGACAAAAATTTTACTGATTGCATTTTTGGCATCAGTATCGATCACTAATCACCCCCTGATAGTTATTTTGAAAATATATTTCATGTACAGAATTGACCTCTCTACAGATTTATTATAAGTATAGATTATTCATTATTGAGCAATTACATATTTGATCCAAATAGCGTCCTAAATCCTCTTTAGGTTTGTCTAGATGTCATAGTCAAAGGTCGATATGCAGTCTCTTCGCGGAATGACTGGTCTATCCTAGGTTTGACCAAGGTCTTCAGGCAAACCCCGAAGTGAATTCTTATTTCGGCCTTTGACTAAGTTAAACCTAGAAGTGCCTAAACTGTTCAGTCAAACGCCGAAACTAACTAAAATGATCTGTTTCGGGCTTTGCCTAGTCAATCCTAGAAACGACTGGCAGACTCGATCAAAAGTAGACGGCAAATAGAAAACCAGCCAAGTGCGAGTCGGATTCGCTCACGAAGAGTTCCGTGCGACTCTGTTGTTGTATGGGAGCACCCCCTTAATTTTTTTTTTATTTTAATGTTGTGCTTTATTTTTAAAGTAGATACTTATGCAACTAAATATTATGTGAATATTTCAAGTGTTCACCTGTTTACATTTTAATATCAAGCAGAAAATTGCAAAAAAGTCACGTTTGCGTATAGGAGCTCCCTTAAATATTTAAGTATTTTATTGAATTATTTATTTATTTTTAAAGTGAATAGAAACATAAATATTTTGAGAATGATTCATGAGATACGAGTCTGGTGGGTGACAGACAACATTTAGCGAAGTCATAGTAATAGGGTCCCGTTTGAACTACACTCAGCGGCACGGAATTTGGCCCAAGCCTAAACAACCAGATATGAGGCCAAATAGGTGTTGTATACCTAAGTTTCGTGTGACATGTTAACAGAACATTTGTTTTTGTTAATTTAAGAGGCTAGATTAATAAAAAAATGCGTCTGTTTAACTTTTTTGACTCTAGAAACGCATTTCGTTGTTGGAGCGTAAAGAGTACGGGTAAGTTTAAATTCGATATTAAATGTTGTAAGGGTTTGGCGTTTTGTTTTTTGTTTCTAAATTAATCTTAGGGTTATTCTCGTTTCCATAATTTGAGAATAATGTCCATTACTTCAGCTCAAGTTGCTCAAATAGTGTTGCTTAGAAGTCAAGGGGGTATGCAGCGGGAGATGGCTGAAACTTTGAATTTATAGCGTACAAACTTAAGATACACGTTAAAAAGGCATGACTAGATCGCCTTTTACACAAGAAGACCAAGAAGTGGGGAATTAAGGAGTAAATCAGCTCGCGATGACCCGATAATCGTGCTTGCAATATCAAGAAATCGGGTTCTCACTACGTTTGAGATACGCCAGCGTTTACAAACAGCAAGCCCAGTGAATGTTAGTGAGCACACAATAAGAAGAAGGATGGAGGATCATAACCTGCATACTCGAAGACCAGCTCGAGGACCAGAACTTCTCCGATACCTCCGCGAAGTGCGACTTACGTTTTCTAGAGAACATGCAAATTGGGCGCAAGGCTAATGGAGTAAAGTTCTATGGATCGATGATTGCAGAGTCACTTTAAGAGCTCCAGACGGCCGTGGAAGTGTATAGAGAAGGTGCGGAGAAGAGTTACTACGCAAACAGACAGTTTTCATAAAGAGTTTACTCCATTAGTCTAACGTACAATTTGCATGTTCTCTAGAAAACGTAAGTCGCACTTCGCGAAGGTATCGGAGAAGTTCTGGTCCTCGAGCTGGTCTTCGAGTATGCAGGTTATGATCCTCCATCCTTCTTCTTATTGTGTGCTCACTGACATTCACTGGGCTTGCTGTTTGTAAACGCTGGCGTATCTCAAACGTAGTGAGAACCCGATTTCTTGATATTGCAAGCACGATAATCGGGTCATCGCGCGCTGATTTACACCTTAATTCCCCACTTCTTGGTCTTCTTGTGTAAAAGGCGGTATGGTCATGCCTTTTTAACGTGTATCTTAAGTTTGTACGCCATAAATTGAAAGTTTCAGCCATCTCCCGCTGTATACGCCCTTGACTTCTAAGCAGCACTTTTTGAGCAACTTGAGCTGAAGTAATGGACATTATTCTCAAATTATGGAAACGAAAATAACCCTAAGATTAATTTAAAAACAAAAAATAAAACGCCAAACCCTTACAACATTTAATATCGAATTTAAACCTACCCGTACTCTTTACGCTCCAACAACGAAATGAGTTTCTAGAGTCAAAAAAGTTAAACAGACGCATTTTTTTATTAATCTAGCCTCTTAAATTAACAAAAACAAATGTTCTGTTAACATGTCACACGAAACTTAGGTATACAACACCTATTTGGCCTCATATCTGGTTGTTTAGGCTTGGGCCAAATTCCGTGCCGCTGAGTGTATTTATTCTTTAAGGTAACAGAACCCTAAAAATTAGTAATTTCAAGATCGGTCTAGAAACACTGACATAGGTACAACCGCAGTAAATAAGTTTAGTTACTCGTACCTTCACCTAATAAGAAACCGACCGTAACGCCTATGCAATAAGTTCGAGATCTGAATAAAGTAAGTTTAGTTTAAAGTCTATTGAGGTTTGACTAGTCAAACCCCGATTTCATTAAATTGAGTTTCGACGTTTGCCTGACCAAACTAGTTACTCCTAGGTTTGACTAATATTCTTTAGTCAAAGGCCGAAATGTTTGGGCTTTGACTAAGACTTCTAGTCAGACCTGAGGATTGACTAGTCAAACCTAGGAGTGCCGGAACTTCGAGGTTTGACTATAACATAGACACTATTGTTCTCTATACAAATATTAACATTGCTTTGACTGGTAAAATGAGAACTCTATTAAATTCCTTAAATCATACTATTTCGTGGACTGCCTTGTTAGGTGGGTATTTTATTTCGTGATTACATGACTATCACTGAAATCCTTTTGAGCTTTGGATATTATGGGATTTTATGTCAAACGAATCATTTAAAATCTATCGATCATATTCCATAAAGGTTTGTGAGGATCACAAGATTCAGCCTTCTTGCTAAAGGCTATTCTCACATGATTTTTGACCCCTATACAAAAGGAATAAAGTTCCTATACCAAATACTTTTTTCTCTAACAGAACGAAGTAAGCCGCGCCGAGGTGGCGTGCCTGACAGCCGCCGATGAGATCTGCTACCTCCACTGCTCCATGCATGATGGTGCCACGGAAACTGTTAGTATTAGGTCATTACAAACCAATTTCTTTCATATTATGTAATAGTTTTACTTTTTACTTCTAAAAGAAGTCGATCTAACCCTTAGAGACCCCGCCAACTACAGTTTACAGACTTTTTGTCGGCGATAGTTTAGTCAGCATTATAAAATATGAATATGATATGAAAGTGCGCACATTAGATCAATTTGATATCGGCCCAATCCTCATATAAATTAGAAGCCGATCTATCGGCCGACAAAAATTGTAGTCTGATGGGAGTCTTATTGTTAGAATTGTCGCCTTTCTTAAAAAGTCTTCACCTCTAAAGTTTAAGTTATTATATTGTTGAACAGTCTATTGGATAAGTCCTTTAAAGTGTTCTATTTCTTTCTAGCTTTTAGGCGCTTAGTATGAAGTTTGTCTTCTGTCCTATATGTGCTTTTAGCTGCATGAACAGGGGAACGGGACTATTCCCACCTCTCGTTCCCACCACTGCAACTCCAATGTAGCCAGGATCTACAGCTTGACCGCCAATAAAAACCCAACCAATGAAGGTCAAGTTTGCCCCGGGGGAAAGTTAAACTGTCATGAACAGGGGAACTAATGCAACCTTATATTATTTTAGTCCAGAAACGTTAAAGACCTGTCAGTCTGCACCAGCCACTGCATCCGACCCACCATGTCCGAGCCCGTACAAGTCGAAAGGAAGATTGGTTTCTTCAGAAGAATATTCTACCCCAACAGAAACACATCCCACAAAGTAAATATAGCTCTAAATACTGTTAAAATTTGAAATTAAACAATAAGTTGATCGAGTTGAGTACGAAGTTGACGTCTCATTTGAAGCTCGAAGACTTCAAAAGGGTGGATACTATCTCGATGTGACCGAAGAAGTACATCTACATATTTTTTGTAACCCCGCCTCGTTGTAAGCTAAATATTATGCTTGTGTTACTTGTGGTTTCATTCCAACAGTCCAACGGTGGTGGGGTTCTTCGAACCCACGTTTCTCGGATCTTCACTAAAGTTCCTCGATTCTCCACTCAAGTTCCTCGGTTCTCCACTCAAGTTCCTCGGTTCTCCACTCAAGCTCCTCGGTCCTCGACTCGAGTCGATCAGTCCGACCGTATCCCCATTGGGCTATTGTCTCTTTTTTCTACAACACGAGCCAAAAAGTGCTGCAATTTACAATGGATTCCTTTTTTCCAGGAAATCGCCATCATGTCCTACGTATACACGAACTCATTCGACGCTCAAAAGACGATAAACCTCTCCGATGGATATGATGTGTTGCCGTCCCGATCTGCTGCCGTTCTTGAAGATAAATTGTGAATAATTCTATCCATCCACAGTCCACATACCATATAAAGTCTATCAATTTGAACAGGAAAATACAGGGAAATAAACTATTGCTTACCTATTTTGTTGTTGCTTAATAATTACTATAGGTATAGCGATTAACTGAGTCAGTGCCTGAGGAAAGGGAACGGCACGGGAGGGTCAGTTTTTGTAACCGTCAAACGTTAGCGAAACTTCAGAGTTATATGCTCTGTCATGTCCTAATAATAATATGTCAATGTTACCTTTTCCGGGCCGCTCTCAAACCTCAGGCACTGATTAAGCTAAGCGCTAAGTTACAGCTTGATAAATGATTACACTTAACACCTGATCCTGATGCAAAACACATAGTTACACACCCATCTATGAATTTATGAATTATTTTGTGATGAAACGCAGCAGGAATTTGTATCTCTCAAAGCACTCCATAACTAAGCTGTATAAATACTCTTAATCCCTTCTGACCCACCGCACTACCAAACCACACTACCAGTAGTGTCGTGGGGAATATTTTTTCCCTTCTACACTACCAAGCCAGTAGTGTCGTGGGTAATTTTTAAGGGCCTTACATCTTCATTCCCATCGACACTACTACCATAACTAAATGTAAAATTTATAAAATTTTGGATTGTTTTGTAATAAATTATGTTTATATGCAACCCTAATCTCTGTGCAATTTTGCTGTTTGACGGAATTTACTGAAAATAAAATATTACCTAAAAGGGCTTATGTACATGTTAGGTACGGTAACTTGGTAGTGCAGAAGGGAAAAAATATTCCTATAAATAGGGTCAGAAGGGCTCTTAATAATACATTATTTCTACCAACATATCCAAACGGCGAGTTGTAGCGTCCAACTTACAACATCTACAAATTTATCATTCTGGCTACATTTCTTTTAGAGGTTCTGCTAAATCTTTATGTATACGAAACCTTCGTTTTCCACAGTGGCCTCTCGAAGGGAACGCACATAACTATTTATTTATCACTGCACTCTAATGCAAATTATAAATACAAATTATCTTATTGATGATTCGTTTTACTTATTTGATTGGAAATGAGCAGCAGGCTTATCAGCTGTTATTAATGTGCAACAATTACTCTTTCATGTTTAATGACCAATAAATTATTCAAAAATCAGCTCCCTGGAGTCTGGATTAAGCGTTCCAGACAACATTCGGAACATTTTATGATTAAACTGGAGCATAATTTTTAACTGTAATCGACAATTCGTTAATCACGGTAGTGAGTAATGCCTACAGGCTACAGGTATATATGTAAGTATGGCTCTATTACTACAAGTACAGTTCAATTTATCCCTTTTCTATGGTTTTTTTATTATATTTCGGAATTGAGAGGCTATTTCATTCGTTTTTGCTTTGTAGTGAGGAAGGTGAACTTTAAACCACAGTTCAAACTCCTCCAATTTTCTTTTAACTGATTTTGTTGCGATCCTATGACAGTACTTTAACTTTCACCGGGACCAACATAGCCCTATCGCCCTTTCAGTTTCAATAGATGTCAATCATTGATTCATCATCATCATCATCATTTCAGCCATAGGACGTCCACTGCTGAACATAGGCCTCCCCCAATGCTTTCCATGTTGATCGATTGGTAGCGGCCTGCGTCCAGCGCTTCCCTGCTACCTTTACGATGTCGTCGGACCACCTTGTAGGTAAACGTCCCACGCTGCGTTTTCCGGTATGCGGCCTCCATTCCAGAACCTTCTGCCCCATCGGCCGTCAGTTCTGCGTACTATGTGCCCTGCCCATTGCCACTTCAGCTTGCTAATCCATCGGGCTATGTCAGCGACTTTGGTTCATTTACATTCTTTTAATCATTGATTAACCATTACCCACATACAGGAGAAGCAGTGATGGGAGGATGGTAGTGGAAAGTGGAAATAGTCCTATAGCCGTTCAGTCCAGCCCCTGAAAACTGCAAAGTCGCAGAGAAGCGCGAAATGCAAGGCTATATTTCAGGCGTTGCAAACTCCCAAGCCTCTATACCAGTACAAAATCCCTCCGAGAAGAATTTATTCCGAACCTATTTAAATCCTTCCACAGATAGGATTCATAAAATATTTTCGGCTGTATAGAAACGTCCAAGTCTGTAAATCTTAAAAAAAGTTTTGTGAAGTTACAAATTGGTTTTGAACATGTTTTGAAATTGGTCACAAAATGACATTTCGAAATTAATGTTTGGATTTACACGATGATTTAATAAAAATAAAATGTTAAAGACAAAATTATTTGTAGGGAAATAAATCATTATAATACAGCAAAATGCCTCGTCAGAGAACTCTTAGATCAATTTTCATTGACATGGTCGTGTTCGTTGGAATGTTCGCACTACTGGGGCATCTCTCTATAAACTTTTGGGAGCGATTTGTTATCCAGAGCGAGCTTTCCAATATGAAGACCAGCTTACATTCGTTAAAGGTAAGATTAAATTTCATCAAACTCGCTTTATCAATATCGTTTCTGTCTATCTACTTACTGTGAATAGTCCTGCGCTGCCCGCATCCAGGCTCTTCCCGCGACCTTTACCAGATCGTCGGTCCACCTAGTAGGAGGCCTGCCCACGCTACGTCTTCCAGCCCGTGGTCGCCACTCGAGAACTTTCCTGCCCCAACGGCCATTGTCTCTACGAGCTATGTGCCCCGCCTACTGCCACTTGATTTTAGCAATTCTGCGGGCAGCGCAGGACCGTTCATTGTGGAAAACCTTGGGGGAGGCTGTTGTCCAGCAGTGGACGTCATTTGGCTGAAACGAACGAACGAACTTACTGTGAACGTCGGTTCTCGACATACCGAACTAAAACCTGTATCAATTCTTTTTGCAACCTCCAACCTATAGCCACCCAACTATCAGCTAGATCTCACGCTGCATTTTCATCTGGTATATTCATAAATTTATGAGAATTTCATTTTCACAGGAAACAATAAACAGAATTGGCTACGCATATGATAATCTACATCGAGAACTACTAGGTTTAGCTGAAATCGCTGAAAAAAAACAATCTAAGGAATCTCCAGACCCTCCAGAAGCTCCTATCGAACACAAACCAGAAACGCCACAAAGTAAGAAGAAACAGTGTATAAAAGAACATGATAACATTCCTGTAAAAGTATTGAAAACAAAGAAAAACCACACAACATTAACTACTCCCCTCCTTTTTGACAAAACAAACCAGTACAATATGCCGGATATGAAAAAGGATAAAACAACACAAAATTTAGTACATGAGAAAAGTAGATGTAGTGGTAAAAACATTTCAACTTTGACGAGGTATCCTAAAAAGTCCATAGGAGTTGGTTTGGATACCAACAAATGTAAAATTGTATGCCCAAATGAAGAATACTGCAAGTATAAAAAGTCTAGTAGCGATGTACATGAATGTTGTAAAGAGTATGATTGTTATAATCCCATTTATAATTGGAAATTTTAATGTGTAACTTCATAACTATTATTAATTCATTATGATCTACCCAAGTGTTTTTACTATTTCCAGAAATTCCAGATTGTTGGGACTGAAAAGTTTTGAAGGTCAATAAAAGTTTTTTTTACATTAAATTATTTGGTTTTATTGCACTTAAAGGGCATCAAAACGTTCCAAAACATTGATTTCTTCCAATTTTCGCTAAATCTAGTCAATCTTGATCTTGATTCACTTCAACAGTTCTCGGTACACGGGCGGAACATTTCGAAATATTTTTTTCTAATGGTTTGTTTAGATAAACATCGACGTTGGGAAGAGACAACTGTGTCTTGGGATCCCATCCATGATGGCTTTTCTCCATAGTGTTGGCTAGTGCCTCCAAAATATCGATCTGACCTTCCAGTTTTGGTAAATCTTGGGAGAATCTTGAAATCTTCACCTCTAAGTCGTAGTAACTATCTTTTATTATCGACAGATTTTTCTGAAATAAAACGAAATGAACCATTTTAGATTTCTTATTAATTTCTGTAACGATTGGATGCAAAAAGTGTCCGATCAAAATACTATGACAAATTCTGAAATGTAATTTAATTCAAAAGTTTAGTAGGTACTTATACTGTAAAAATATTTACCGCAATGTCGTCAATGCTCTTCGTAATGTTTTTAAAATCGCATTTATCTTTGCAATTATTGCAATGATACTCCAGCATCAGATAGATCAGTGCAATCAGACTTGTCATGATAACAAAGCTGTATAATCCTCCTAGAAAGGACCAAGGTTTGGAGTTCTGGGGATGCACAAACGTATGTGGAAGATTCCGATTGGAATGAGAGTGGCCACGTCCTCTGCGATTTCTTCTTCTATCCATTTTTGCTTTTTACAACTTCCAATTTAGATCCAAATGATTTTGAACCACTCTCATGTGCCGTTTCAGGTTTTAATTTACATTTCCAATATTTTTTCGGATTTTATTGAATTTTTGCAATCACTATTTTGCTTCTGTCATGTTTTATTTTCAACTTTTCTGACAGATGTTTCCAGTTGATATGTCGTACCTATTTTAGATTTTTTAATAATTTATGTGTGCCAGTTACCTTAACTTTCTAGTCTATATCCTCTTCTCCTCCTCCATCTTCCAAGAAATAGCACACGCACACACACCCTTGAGTAAACCAATCCTCGATGCCTCGATTCTACTTTTTCATCCATCACTATATTATGTATGTTTTTGATCAAAAAATTTTAGGCTTATGGATTTTTTCAACATCTTTTATGAAAAGTTCTGCAAAGTTGTGTGGTATAAAATTCAAGTGATGATTTAGAGCCATCTGGTGGATTAACTACTAACTTCTTACCGTTTAGAACCAACATACTCGGTAGGTTCTTTACTCTCAAAATAACAACACTACTGATACTGGCACCTAATGTTTAAAAGTTAATATAGAGGGCATTGCCAACTAGAGCCACCTAAATTATAAATAGTTGATTTTTATTAACTACTGTTTTAATTGATGAAAAATAACGCGGACATGCAATTAAATTTTCAAATAATGAAAATTTTTCTTTTACTTCAACTATTATGCCATTACCGATTATTATTTGACAATTATTATAAATGCTGAATCCAGGCATTAGATCATAAGTTTTCTACGAGTATTATTTATATACTCAAAAACCATCCAAACTACTTATTTTAAGACCTAACTGCATTTACCTAATAAAATAATTACTGAAAATATTTTTCTTTTGCAACAAGACTGAGATGATACATGTTCACTGCAGCTTAATGAAACTTCTATATCCACGTAATATTTTGTGGTCACTTATCAAAAGTTCTTGGAAATTATTTGTAACATTCGGTTGGACCCAATCACCTTTCCATGCCCGGCGCGGTGCCGCCGTTTAGTCGAGACGGTAGAGCGAAATAGCTAGTCACCTCGCTCTCTCACACTCATTGTATTCCATACTTGGTTTTCGTTTTACATTTCGAGCTAATAGTGATGTGCGGTTATCGAGTTTTTGGGCGTATCGACAATAGAGCCTTCGAGAAGGCTTTGATTCCTATAAAAGTCACTGAGACTTGTTGATGTTGATGGTAAAATGTCAAATAGGAAAGAAACTTTAGCTTATAATGTTGTATTACGCTCTTGCGTACTTTTTACTACAAAATCAAACGTGTTAAAGATTTTCGAATTTATTAAGGTTACAATGACAAAATTATGCGAATTTGTAGGTAACACAGCTCTTGAAATCCATAGGCATGCATAATATATACAGTTAGTAAAAATGCATTTTGTTTTCATTGAAAGCATGATGAGCACATAACAATGATCGTAATTGAGGTCATAATCGAGCAATAAGTTAAGTATAGTGAATGCCAATTAGGTAGATATCTGAAATAATAAATTAATTAACCTCTGAGAGTATTTGCCGCCTTTGAAGCTATCGATATGACGGCAATAACGTCGATAGCAGCCAGGCCTTCGCCCTGCTCGAGACCCGTGTGCCGGGCGGTCGCGACGCCGCTGCATGATGTCATTCATCAGCACACACTCACACATAGAGCCCGCTCGCAAGCAACCGCGCTGTTTACATTCTGAACGCAGTGACTTCACGGCGACAATCCGTGTCTGTGATTTATTTATTTAATTATTTATAATACATAGTTATTAGTTACCTAGTTCAACATGGCAAACAACAGGGCCGCCAAATCTGGATTCGCCGCCGAAGCTCAGAGAAAGGTGAGTTTTCAAAACTTTTTCATCTCGACCGGGCTATTAACCGGCTATTTTACATAGTTATGTGCATAATCGCTCGCGCTTTTCAGCCTAGATCTCTGTAAATAGGTCGCATGGCGGCTAGGTATTGATTCGGGATGCTGTGAGGTCCAGAATTGTGTTACAAGGACTCAGCCCTGACCTACATTTGGGCACATGTTGTAGGTACTTGCGACATGGGCGCCAGATGTTCATTAAATATTATTATGGGCAATGCAGGATTGCAGGCTTGTGAATATTGGACACGTACGGTGATGTACTGAGATGCCAACGAGTCGGTGCTACGAGTACGAAGCAGTTAGGCTGGTATTTTAAATGCTTGCTTTACTTGGATTTGTAGACCTAATACAGTAGAATCTTGATAACTCGAATGTCAAGGGAAACCAAAAAAAATTCGAGATAGCAAGTTTTCGACTTAACAAGAATTTCGAGATAATAATATGATGCTTGTTAACAGCCAAACAAATACTGACTGAGCCAAGTAACCAAAAGTGACCAAAAATGAAGAAACATAACATCTGTGTTTCTTAGACATTAGAAAGTTTATTGAATGTATTCATTCCTTGCACGTGTGCAAAACAAAAACAATAGATAAGAGGCCCCGAGCTCCGAACATTCCTTTTTGATTTTATTGCCACGAGTTTTGAGCTCCGGGAATCCCGAGTAAGAAATCATTATATTTTATGAACTTCGACTTACTGAGGTAGGTATTTGCAGTTCGAGTTACTGAGTATTAACATGTACGAGTAATGCCTCACAGGGAAATAACTTATTGTTCGAGTTACCGAGTCTAAAAAATTCGAGTTACAGCGTCGTTCGGGGTTCGGCGGAAGGGAATAGCATATCTTTTCGATTTACCGAGGATTACGACTTAACAAGGTTCGAGTTATCAAGATTCTACTGTAGAAACGAATTAGATTTGCTACTAATAATATTAATCATAACTTAGTTTTATATTTGGATTAATCTCAGAATCTTCACAAAGCTGGAAACAAAAATACCGATTAAAACTAATTACAATGATCTTTAACTTCTGATTTGGCATTAGAAATTCTTTTAGCTAATCTTATTCCAAGCTACCCGCACGTCAATACTCTACTGATTGTTGAACATAAAACATGTGACATAATCAAGCAGCTATAATAAAAACATTCTCATTTGTCACTTTCCACGTGAACGATATTCTACCAAAAGGCTATTTAAGTAAATGAATCCACCAGCTTGGTCTAATTTAAACCTTTTAATCCTATTAACGATATTTAGCGGTTCAATGACAGCATTTTAGTGATGGTAATAACAGCCGTTTTAAAACATGGAGACTGTCGATAAAATTGTGACTTTACAGTTGATTTACTCTTTTACATTTGAAATGTTTATTTTTTACTTTTATACACCATGTCACCAGCCATGCATATAATATTAAGCGGTACTACACGAATAATAATACCCATAGGTAACCCTTGTAAGCTACATAAACCCGTTTAGAGCAAAAACCGACGTCTTGGAGACAAGGGCATGTCCCAAAATGGGTCATTAACATTGATCAGAACAAAGATTTTAAACTTGATGTGGATTCGTATCAACATACTCGTGTGTGTGACTGGTTTTTCGTACAAATGTTTGTCAAAGTTTAAGATTTAACTAAAATATTTGATTGAAAGTGAAATAGTTGACGAATACAGTCCATTTTCTGCTTCAGTTAAATAAAAAAGTTTATTTAGAGTTGATTTCGGCGCGAAATATGCGCCTTTGATAGTAATACCTACTCACTGCGTTTCATAATTTAGTCACACGAAAATGACGTGACATACTATGTCACGGTTATAAATAATCGGCAACTTAGTCACCACTTGTATTTACGTTAATAAATTACTTACTCTAATAAGTTTTATTACCCGCACGCTTTGCTATTCCTCAATACCGGATGGTTATGTAAATTTGTAAATAGTTCGTTGACATGTCGGTTAAAATTATCGACTTATCGCATTGAGTAGGAAAATCCCTGGAGCAATCAACTTTTTGCGATGTTCTGAACGTAAAAACATAGCTTTTAATCTGCAATAATTCATCGATACATTTCAAATGCAGTGAAAGGTTTTTCACGTCACTATTTTTTATTAATAATAATTCGTTTGTTTTTTTTTATATTATTCAGTTGAACGTTAGAATATGAATTTATTTCTTATATTGATTACTATAATAATCAATCATTTAGGTAAACGGTGTAGATATTTTTATTTTTTAATAATTTAATTCTAGAGTTTTGGATTACACCAGAGTCAGACAATTTATAGGTACTACGTTTGTTTTCTCATACAAGAATGGCGATTTGAATGACAAGGTTCCTCTTTAGCAAACATGTAGCGTATCTCCTGTGAATAATTTATTTTATTTCCCTCATAGAAGCAAGGTTAACAGCATAGTTGAAGAAAATGCAGTAACGTACGTATTTTCGAAGCATTAGATAGAATTCCGATTCATATTACGGAATATAACAAATCTACTTATCAATAGGTCTAGCGGTGAACTCAATCAGTACCTGAGGCAAAGGAGCGGCACAGGAGGGGTGACATTGACATATTGTGACGTGACATCTGAAGTCTCGCTGGAGTTTGACGTCACAAAAACACCCTCCTGTGCCGCTTCCATACCTCAGGCACTGAGTTGAACGCTAGACATTTAATATGAATTTGCCTCCCCAATCTTTCAGTCCCATCGTAAGAAGTGTAGACCAAATCCTCCATTTGCCTATTTCGTATCATCATCTTGACATCTCCATGTCTCCACTGCAGGAACACGACCCTCTCATTGGAAATCGGGACTATTCCCACCTCTCGTTCCCACCACTGCAACTCTTGTGTAGCCAGGATCTACAGCTTGACCGCCACAAAAACCCAACCAATGAAGGTCAAGTTTGTCCCGGGGGAAAGTTAAACTGTCATTGGACCCGCAACGAAATTAATCAGAAGAACATAGGAGTTCGAAATTAAGGTTCGACTTCCCTCCATTGCAAAACGGATGACAGGTGACAAACAAAGGTTTAAAACCTTTAAGAAAAGATTATCCTACCTCTCATTGGAAAGGGTCGTAAATGGTTCCAGAATTACCTGATGATGATGATACGAATTTGATAGTAGACCTGTATTTCCACTCTCCAGTAAATGTAGCCAACAGTCACCTTAATACAACAATCATGTTCATTCGAAGTGTTTCTTAATTTTGAATCAATAAACTTAACAATGAGTGAAAGCAACATTTTTCTCTCGCAAAAATCGTCTGAGACTTGGTCCCACGAACAAAGTAAAATCATGTTTGAGATTATGTATGTTTATTGAGCGTTATTTTTAATGGGCTTCAAGAATTTAGTGATGCTACTGTTATTAAAATCTATTATCATTATTATGCTACAGATTATCTGTCCTTAGAATCAGCTCTATGGATCTTATTCCAATCACTACTTACTATGTGCAGCTTTTTCATTCTACACATTAATAAGCCCACATTAATGTTACCTCCAGGACTCCGTTAAACACTTCGAATGAGTAGGTAATATCCTTTCAGGATCATGATAGCTTTCAGCCTTTTTATCCTGGAATTTATGAGGTAAATGGAATTTGATTGATAAAGACCTGACTTAAAACTGACTGCCTACTTTTGTTTAACTCGAACTGAACCATTATCTTTTACGTTATCAACAGTTACAAATTAAATATTCATTACCCCCGAAACGGTTTTTAACTTCAATGTGCGGAATTTTACACCAAAATTTACAGTTTTGCTTAAATTATCAGGAGGTACAAACGTGCATACCCCTGGGTCCACCCAAGCTTACAACTTAAGACATTTAGTTGCTTGTGAGTTCGTCGACCCATGTCATACGCTCTGTCAACCAAGCTTATACCACAGTGAAGGTAGGAACCTCTATGCTATAGTGGACTGACTGCAATGGCCCATCATATAAGGAAATTACTCTGTGGTCTGGCTTACATGTGGCACAAAGGCATCACACTAGGATCATTTCTACCAATATTGGCTAACTGAATCTAATAAGAATTAAGATAACGTGTGTCAAAGACATAAGACTTTGCACGGAACTGCTCTTGCACTTATGCAACTTCCACCACTTTAAGTCCATAAATTGGTAAACCCGTTATCTTAAAATTTACTACGTGTTTTTTTTAAATTGAAGTAGGAACTGGTCTGAGCAACAATTTCAATGTTTTGTGAAACTTTTCTTTAATGTACTTTGTATTTTTATTTTATCATTTACTGTAAGCCATTTCCGATATTGTTTTGTCAAATTAATAACTATTACAATGTGTATAGCAACTTGATCGTAGTGTATGGTGTAGGAAGGGGTCGTGCTCTATAGCTCAAAACATTAAAAATTACAAAAACATAAGAATCAATTTCCTATAACTTAGCTACATGTACCTACTAGATCTACGTCAATAGCGCCAAAATGATCATGGTTTCTGTGGGAATATTCAAATAATACAAGAAAATTTTAAAATGGTCAGTCAGGACACCTTTCTTCATACAATTTGGGTCAAGGAGATTGGACCGATGCGGCTTTTACAACCGGTTCTGTAAACATTTGGGGCCACTGCAGGTGATGGACCCGCGCTTATAAGGACTTGTACTGAGTTTAACGTTCGACGTGAAAACATTTATTACTTGCTTTAAGACGAAGCTGATATTTGAGTCGGTATCGACGATCTTATTATTGAAGACTATAATCTTACTTATGAACTTAGCGAAGACGACGATATGAATAACGGAAAAATTAACGGTTTCCATTCTTTAGCATCAGCTTTGTCTGAAACACTAGCATTTTTCGTAATTCGTCGTGATTTCTCTTGTACAAAAAATGTAACTGTCAAATATGAATTATCTTCATTAGACTCATCAATTCGTGTATCAATTTCGATATTAATTAAGAATATGTACGAGACGTTTACAAA